CTTGTCTGTTAAAAAAGGAAAGGTGACATTCGCACTTCTAGGTGTGTATATATCCCCATCAAGTAAATTCGACGCCAACAAACTGGACGGCATATTAAGGGCACATCCGGGTCCGTGGGTTATCACCGGGTATTTCAATGCGCATCATCCCATCTGGGGAAGCTCAAGGCTTAATTCAACGGGACGACGTCTAGCATCATTGGTTTCCAGCCATGGTCTCGTCCTTCTGAATGACGCGAGTCCTACGTTTTTGCGAGGCACTACATATAGCAGCTGCCTTGATTTGTCCTTTGTTTCACGCCGATTTGCTACACGGGTAAAGTGGTTTTTGGACATTGAAACACACGGAAGTGGCACATTCCCAGGTAGCAGAAGATTTCTGCGCTATGACCGTGGGCCAGACAATTTACACAAGCCTACATACAGTGAATCATATCCCTCACTCACGAGACCCGCGCATGGATCTACCGTTTACATCACAGGAGCTCGATGCGGCGCTCGTCTTATGTAATAAGTCGTCGTCAACTGGCCCGGATGACATCTCATACAGGATGCTGTGCAACCTTGGTAAACGGGCACGAGAAGCACTCCTTAACATCTTCAACGATTCCTGGCAAGCTGGCGTCGTTCCGCAAGATTGGAAGATTAGCCGCTTGGTACCGATTCTTAAGCCTGGCAGATCTCCCCTGGACATTGCCTCTTACCGACTAATCGCACTCTCAAGTTGCGTAGGAAAGGTAATGGAGAGAATGATCTTGGCCAGGCTTGAGTGGTACCTGGAATACTATGAGATATATTCGAACGCCGTGGCTGGTTTTCGCCGTCACCGATGTTCGATCAATAATGTTATAGATATCGTCACATATGTCCAGCAACAAAAGGCATGTAAACGACTATCTGCTGCCATGTTCCTTGACGTAAGAGGAGCATACGACAACGTTCTACATGACGCCATCCTCGAAGCCATTGAGTCAGTGGGCCTAGTTGGGCAACTGTATTGTTGGACACGCAGTTATTTACAAGGGCGGACCTTATTTGTGAACCCTGCAGATGGTCCAACCTCCCAACACCCAACGCATCGTGGAGTCCCGCAAGGTGGCGTCTTGAGTCCAACCCTCTTCAACCTCGTTCTCATTGGTCTTGTAGAACGACTACCAAGTGTGGTCAAGTTATCCATGTACGCTGACGACATCTGCGTCTGGGCATCTGGCGTGACAAGACCTCAGGTACGCGCAAGACTTCAGAAAGCTGTGACGTTGGTATCAATGTACCTCAAGAACCAGGGTCTGAAAATCTCGCCAGCGAAATGCGCATTGATTGCTTTTAGTCGAAAGCCAATGATACCCTACGCTATATCAATCGATTGCCAAGTCATACCATATGTCAGGACGCACAGATTTATAGGCGTATTCGTTGATAGAGACCTCTGCTGGGGCCCACATGTGGCCCACTTGAAGAAGAGGCTGACAGAAATTGCTAACTTATTCAAGTATCTCGGAGGAAAAACATGGGGAACTTCAGTACATGCAATGATGCAATTGTACAAGACACTTTTTCTTGGCTATTTGCGTTACAGTTTGCCTGTGTTGACCAACACCTGTAGAACCAACATTCGGGCTCTCGAAAGCATCCAGGCTATGGCTCTGCGAGTTTGTCTGGGGCAACAGTTTCGGGAGGGGTCCTCCCTTCATCCCCTGATGAAGGGAGGACCCCTCCCGAAACTGTTGGGAAATAAATATATTTATCCTTGTTAACAACGCTCCTATTGTGCCATATTCCATACCTTCATATATATATATATATATATATATATATATATATATATATATATATATATATATATATATATATATATATAGAAATTGAAGGGAAGGCACGGCAGGTCCGGGTATTTTCTATATTGAATGAAGTTGCAGATAGCACATTTGAAAAGGAAGTTGTCTTTACTAACGTTTCGGCCGTGGCACGGCCTTCGTCAGAGTAAGTAGGTATGATACAATGCAGCCACTTTTATAGGCTCACGTGATGAACTCTCGGTACAGCAGCTAGGACAATCAAAGTGAAAAAAATGGTAATCTGTCAGAACCTTGTGTTGACATGACTGACATGCGACGGGTGCATGAATATACATGTTTCAAATTTCCGTGCGCATCAACACGTGGAGCACAGTATGGTTGGCATGACATGTAAAAGAGCTCTGAAGTAAAGAAACCACGGTTGACTAATATACAATTTAATATACACTAAAATATTTTACTAATCTAAGAAGTCGTGTTGTTATAGTGCGAGGCAGGTGAGCTTTCTTACGTTTTCATTGATACCTGAACGAATGGTGTTAAATTTGTGGATCAAGAACGATTCCCTCACTTCCCCATCGTGATTTGTCTTGAAACCGGACTGAATAATAGTGGCCTTAATTTCGTCGAAACCGTGGCCAGGCATACTGACGTGCTTCGACAGTGGTAGATTAGGGAGGCTTGCGGCATGTGCACGGTGATTATTAAAATGAATTCTGAAACTTGTCTCTGTTTGACCTATGTACTGAGCTTTGCATGTTGAACACTCGAAAAGATAGATGACGTTGATACTATCACATGTGTAGTTTCCATTTATCTTTAAAGAAAAGCTGGACAATGTACTTAAAACTGTTTTAGATGTCGTCATGTGCACGGAAATTTGAAACATGTATATTCATGCACCCGTCGTATGTCAGTCATGTCAACACAAGGTTCTGACAGATTACCATTTTTTTCACTTTGATTGTCCTAGCTGCTGTACCGAGAGTTCATCACGTGAGCCTATAAAAACGGCTGCATTGTATCATACCTACTTACTCTGACGAAGGCCGTGCCATGGCCGAAACGTTAGTAAAGACAACTTTCTTTTCAAATGTGCTATCTGCAAGTTCATTGAATATATATATATATATATATTGAAACGGGGTGTTGAACAAGCAGGGGTTTACTCGGTGAACGAAAGATTTATTTAGCGCAAGGGCTAACTGAATGCAAGCCTGCAATCACAGCGCGTCTTCTTTTCTCTACTTGAGCTCCATGTCCACTGCCCTCGTTACAATCACTTCCGGGCGACGAGGGAGCCATCCGGCAACCTAAGGACAGGTATACACAGAAGGGTAATTGTACGGCTTGAGCCGAGAGACGTGTATATGATTTCTTGTCCCCGATGGCGCTTGTCCGGAGATGCGTCCAGCGGCTTGACAAGGTAGTTGACAGGAGATGTTTGGCATACAACTCGATAGCGACCATGGTACCTGGACGAAAGCTTGCGGAAGAGTCTCGGAAAGTAGAAGGAATCCATAGCCACACCAGTGAGTTAGGAGTAAAGCTCATAGGCGTGGTTGACGCGTCGTGGCGATGTTTCCGACGCGTCTGGTCGTTTAACGTTAACGCACGAGGAAGCTTCCGACATTCTTCAGCGTGTGCTGCTGCTCGTGAAACGGTTGTCAACTCGGAAGGGTGCAGTCGATAAGGAAGAATAGTATCCATTGTTGATGATAGCTCGCGTATATAAAGAAGGAAGAAAGGCGAAAAGCCTATAAAAGCGGCTGCACGTGAGCCTATAAAAGCGGCTGCATTGTATCATACCTACTTACTCTGACGAAGGCCGTGCCACGGCCGAAACGTTGGTAAATACAATTTCCTTTTCAAATGTGCTATTTCCAAGTTCATTCAATATAGAAAATACCCGGACCTATCGTGCCTTCCCTTATTTGTTCTATATATTATATATATATATATATATATATATATATATATATATATATATATATATATATATATATATATATATATATATATATTGGCAGAAGTAGATGAGGAAGAAGTGAGATTGGAACAAACATGGTGAATGGTCACGTCTCCCAGTCATAGCGTCACACAAGTCGACAGGCACCAGCTACAATACCAACCTTCCCTTAGTGGTATGCTTGCTGGGTGGTTTGTCGTAGTGATGCTCCCACAGTTGCTCAGCAGATAGCAGTTGAACTATCGGGCTTCGTGATAGTGCATCAGCTTCAATGCCCTTTTTGTGCTCGATGTACGTCGTACATGGAGAGTTTCAAGGACCAACGGAAAAGTCGGCCTCAGGGATTCTCCATGCTTTTAAGCCATTGCAACGCTCCATGGTCCATGATCACAGTGATAGGTTTCCGTGTAGCTAACAACACCATTTATCAACCACGTTCGTAATCGCAAAGCACTCCAGTTCTGTGATTGCGTAATAAATTTCATGTTTATTAGCTTGCGTGAATGGTATGCAATTGGATGTTCTTTACCTATCATCAGCCTGCTTCAGGACGGCGCAGATACCACTGTTGGATGCATCGCAGTACAGCACACAAGGCTTAGAGGCATCGTAAATATTAAGGATGGGCTCCTCTGTCATGCATTTCTTGAAATGAGTGAAAGCCAGCTCACACTCCAAATCCCAGTTTCAAGTGGCGTCCTTGCCCTCCTGAAGCTTTCGAAAGTTTACAGAACCTCACTGGGTCATGGAACCAATAGTGCATTTGACATTTGTGACTTTTTAACCTCTATTTGTTCATTTTTGTTTTGATAATCCATGCCATTTTTCGGCGGGAGGGTGAACCATTTGACGTATAGAGCCATGGTAGGACAAGTCGAGGAGGAAGAAGTGAGAATTGAATAAACTTGGCGTATGAGCCAGGAGACGTCTCCTAGTCATTATATATATATATATATATATATATATATATATATATATATATATATATATATATATATATATATATATATATATATATCAAAACAGGAAGTTTATCATGCGTATTTATATGTGATTTTTCCTAAACATCTGTAATTAACAGCCGATGAAGAACGCGCAACGAAACATTCTAAAGGGAGCGCGCTGTATAGTTACTATTTAGCATTAGCACGTTCATTGTGGCGCTATGAGTCAGTCATTAGCTCTGACACGGCAAAATCTACTATATTGAGTTTGTGTGCTAATAAATACGGAAACGCAGTTGTAGCTATTTTATTGCCCCGGTAAATTTTATTACCCTGAGCATTTATGCTACGAACAGATCGTCTCCACATAGCTCCCAGTTATGTTATACTGGAGCTTTTCTCCTCTTTTCAATAGCTTCACCTTATCATCCCTGTCCTTGAGGTGTTTAACGGACACATTGTAGTAGTTCCCGCGACGTCGTCGTCTGCTGTGATATGCGAAGCTTCCATCCATGGTCACAGTGACAATGAAATCGCATCCCCTCTGTGAACGAAGCAGACAATAAGCTACACAAGTCTAAACCACCCGAAAGTTTACTGAGAACATAAGTTCTTGCTCTCCAGAGTTGCGCGACAGACCACAGCTCAACTGCTATACCAATATTTAAATAAACAAGGACCAACAACGCCTTCTTCATTCTCCTTTCTTTACATTGGACTTAATAGTTTAGCTGTGGCTCATCATGCATCATTACCTTACCCAAACTTTTACACTACTAATAGTTGTATAACGGTACATTTCACCTGAATACGCCATTCTCATGACGCAAGCACTGTGAGAACAGATAATGCTTCACGGCGAAGGTATACAAGTCTTAACCTCGCAGAAAAACCCGCTCAACAAGTTGCGTTTCTCTCGGACTGTAAATCGGCAATACATCTTTCTGGAGGGACTCCCACAAGCAAGTTCCGTCATGAATCGTTAGCATCACTGAAATACACTACCAAAGAAGGCATCAATACGAAGTTCAAATAGATACCTTCACTTGTAGGTGTCATCGGCATCGAAAGAGCAGGTGCTCTGGCTAACGAAGCATTTCAAAACGGCCGACATTCAGAGCTCCTGTGAACCAACAACTACCTAAACAAACAAATTTATGTCATTTTCGTTTTCTATATGGGATTCGCCCCCTCAAACTTGCGTCACAAGAGGCCTTAGTCGTGCCGAGTAACTCTACAGAATAAAAACAAGATCGGCATACACTCCTGCATTGCAATTTAATGACAAGGACAATTCATCTCTCTTGACCACTGAGTCCAATGAAGCAGCGGATATTTAACTCTTGTCGTGCAAGTGCTTTTGCTGCGAAAGAAAGGCATTATTTGACAGTATGATGAAAGGAAGGTTTCTACACTGACGGTGCAAAGACATTGCATTTCCATCAGGTGCACGACTGATGCGAGAATAGGCAGCTAAAATACATCTACAATTTCTACGAGAGACAGGACTAAGCGATATATGGTGCGCCGAGTTAAATAGAAAGAGTAGCTCAGGCGGAGCAATTACTGGCCATTTCTGCCAGGCCAGCCCACCTGGGGCATCATCATCACCACCACCACACTAGATATGGTAAGCAAGCATGAAATTTTAACCATATCGTTAAAAGTGTAACGTCATCGTTACTCTTAACAACAGGCTTCGCAGTGCCTCATGGTATTTACTGACTGTGTAAGGACACAAGAGTGGTAGTGGCAAATGCTGCCCCATGAGTCATTACTTCACCAATTACCAGCTGCCCAGATGACCCAGATGTGGCTTGGCCTAGCATTTCCAAAGCGAGAGTAGCCTGACTCACACCAGGGTGGACATTTAGGACACAGAAAAGTTCTTCATACAATCATGCTATAGTGGGCCAAAACAGGCAATATTTTTGCGCGAGTAACGAGTCATTTACACTGTTGACAATTCTCAAAATATATCTTCAAGAGCGGTTGCAGAGCTGGGCAGTGCAACTTCGAGCTCGATCAGCCAGCGACCTTCATTTTCTTCGTCTGGCACACGCCCGCGTCGACATATGCGTTCCGGCAACCTAAATGCAGCATAACACCTGTCAGCAAAGGCGGCGTCTCGGCGCATCTAGACGTCAACGTCATTGGTCAAGTGGTCCTGCTGCAGTCGTGCAACATGTACGATGACGCTGGCCTGAGGGGTGGATGAAGACGACGCGGAAACAGGAGCGATTTCTTAAGTGACGGGAGTCACCGCACGAAGGACTCTCTATGGCCCTGTGTACTGAGAGAGCACTTTGTCAGACAAGCCAACGTGCCTGGTCGGAGACCACAGCAGGACAAACAAACTGGGCGCAAAGTGCACGCCGCGCTGTTGTTGATCATACCAGTGCCGTTGGTGTTCTCGGGAGGTCATAAGGCGAGCACGAGTGGCTTCTCGTGCCTGGGCAGCCCGGCTGATGGCGGCCAGGGCATATTCAGTGGTCGGAGCTGCTGGCAACGGAATGACTGTATCTAGGGGCAATGTGGGTTCGCGGCCGAACAACAGAAAAAAATGGAACTAACCAGCCATGTCATGACGTGAAGAAATGTACGCAAATTTCACGTATGGTAGAGTGAGGTCCCAGTCGGAGTGGTCTGAGGAAACGTACTTTGGAAGTATGACGTTTAGAGTTCAGTTCAGACGCTCCGTGAGGCCATTTGTTTGCGGATGGTACGACGTAGTGAGCTTGTGGCGCGTTTCACATGAGCGCAGGATGTTCGCTCTGACTCTCGATGAACTGTGTGGCCTCGGTCTGTGAGCAGCTAGCATGGAGCACCATGTTACAAGATCACGTCATGCAGAAGAAAATGCGACGTTGGTGGCGCAACTTGTTGGAAGAACGCGTGTGATGGCGTAGCGTGTGGCGTAGTCTGTAGCCACACCCCTCCATTAGTTTACAGTAGAAGACAGAAGAAAAGGGCCCAGTAAGTCCAAGCCGGCGCGAAAGAAAGGTTCAGAAAAAATGTCGAGTGGTTGAAGGCACCCAGCCGGAAGCGCCGATGGTGTTTTGCGGCGCTGATATTCCTCACATGCCGCCACGTATCTTTTGACGGAGCATGCGAGACCTGTCCAATAGAAGCGACGGCGAATCCAGTCATATGTGCGGGATACACCGAGGTTACCGGCAGTTGGAACGTCGTGAAGTTCGTGGAGTACAGCCGAGAGGAGGTGTTTTGGTACAGCAAGCAGCAGAGATGGGCTGTCTGGATGGAAGTTATGGTGCTATAATGTACCGTTCTGAAGTACGAACCAGCGATGGAATCGGGTCGAAGGAGATGATTCGAGAAGCTCGATGATTGGCTGCACCACGGCGTTGCTTGTTGGTTATGTGGGTCAGTTTGGAAACGGAGCCCGCGCAGGTGTAATTGTCACTGACGGCGGCCGATTCGCCAACCGGATAGCGAGAGAGGCAATCGGCGTCATGATTCAGGTGTCCACACTTGTATGTGACGACAAAAATGTATTCTTGCAGTCGCAGAGCACAACGACTAAGTCGGCCTGTGAATTCATTAAGGATGAAAGCCAGCAGAGCGCGTGGGGGTCTTGACAACGGAGAATTGAGTGCCATATAAATATGGACGGAACTACTAGACCACCCAGACAAGAGCAAGGCATTCTCGCTCCGTGATTGAATAGTTCTGTCCCGCAAGTGAAAGGAGGCGGCTCGCGTAGGCAATAACGTGGTCGTCTCCCTGGTGGCGTTGGGCAAACACGGCTCTAATACCGTGACCACTGGCATCAGTTTGGACCTCAGTCTGGGCGGATGGGTCAAAGTGGGCCAGGATGTGAGGCGTCGTCAAAAGTGTGACGAGGCGAGAAAATTCGGCAGCTTGAGTGGGCCCCCACGAAAATGGGACACCTTTCTTCAGAAGATCAGTAAGTGATCGAGTGATTGCCGCCAAGTCACGAACCACCTGAAGTAGGAACATAGTCCCACAAAGCTCCTCACATGATTGATTGATATCTGGGGTTTAACATCCCAAAACCACTATATGATTATGAGAGAGGCCGTATTGGAGGGCTCCGGAAATGCCGACTTCCTGGTGTTCTTTAACGTGCACCCAAATCTGAGCTCACGGGCCTACAACATTTCCGCCTCCATCGGAAATGCAGCCGTCACAGCCAGGATTCAATCCCGCGACCTGCGGGTCAGCAACCAAGTACCTTAGCCACTAGACCACCGCGGCAGGGCAAACCTCCTCACATCTTTGGCGGACTTGGGTACGGGGAAGCTCGTGATGGCACGAATTTTCTCAGGGTCCGGCCCCACACAAGAAGCATCGACAAGATTGCTCAACACTGATCTGTCGGCGGCCGTAGTGACGCTTCGAGGAATTCAAATGTAGGCCAGCATTGTGGAAGACGTCGAGGATTGCTGACAGACGCTCAAGGTGGGTCTCGAATGTAGGTGAAAATACAAGGACGTCGTCTAGGCAACACAGGCACGTTGATCATTTGAGCCCGTGTAGCAGAGAGTCCATCATATGTTCGAACGTGGCTGAAGCGTTGCATAGACCGAAGGAAATAACCTTGAATTGATACAGGCCATCGGGAGTGATGAAGGCGGTCTTTTCTTGGTTTTTCTCACCCACGGAAGCGAAGGTCGATGGATGAACAGTAGCGTGCACTATAGAGACAATCGGGAGCGTCATCAATACGGGGCAAAGGAAACACGTCCTTTTTTGTAATTTGATTTGGATGCCGGTAGTTGATGCAGAAACGCCATGTGTTGTCCTTTTTAACCAGGATGACGGGTGACGCCTATGGGCTCGATGAGGGCTGGATAATGGTTTCAATTAACATCTTGTTCACTTCGGCTTTAATAATTTGGCGCTCCGATGCGGACACGCGATGCGGACGAGGGTGAATGAGAGCAGCATCAACTGTGTTCATGTGGTGCTGGACTAGAGAATTTTGGCCCGGAGGTCGATCGTCAAGGTCAAGGTCATGGTAGGGAGCTAAAAAGCGGATGAGGGTGGCTGGTTGTGCGTGGGGAGGTCGGGAGCGATCATGGGACGTATTGACGTATCGAAGTGTGTGGCATCGGGTGGGCGACACGTAAGATTGTAGCATACGTCGGCTGCGAAAGTGATGACGAGGTCATCGGCTTAGGACAGAAACGTGGCGATTAAGATACCTTCAGGGAGGACTTGCTTCGTGAAGCCGAAATTTATAACGGGTTGATGTATCCGTTCGGCGGCTATAGTTACGACGCAGTGACGGACGGTGACGTCACGTGCCAGTAGGACATCAGGAATCGGCGCGACATCGTAATCGCCCGTCCAACACGGGTGAAGTTACAGAGGTCTGAAGACCACCAAACGGTGTATGATAAATGGCAAGCCGTTAGCACGCTTGACAACGTACGCTTTGTGGACTAGTGGTTAGCGCCACGTAGAACGTGAAGCTATTGATTCCATTCCTTTTAACGACGATACCTTCGACGCAAAAAGCTTGGTCTGTCTGTACATTTCCTTGTTTGTCCGCCCTTAACGGTATCCTAAACAGCACCAAAGTGGCCAAACAATACTCTAAACGGCCGATCCCGTCCACAGCGCCCACCAATATTGCTCAAGATTCAGCGTTCATAATAGTACGATCGTCAGTTAACAAAGAAACATTGCGCATATTTTAGGCACCATAACAAAACGTCCATATGCTGTATGTGTGCCTCTTACTAGAAAATGAATACATAAGTAATTCTAAGGACCGTACCGTTTATCACGTTGCGCTGACCATGCAACGCTTGCACGAAAAGGCAAGCGTTGCCAACGCTTTAAAGGCGACGCGGTGGTACCTACCCGTCACCTTGCGTTCTACACCTTATCACCTCCAAAACGGGCGCGCAGGGTGCGCGCGCTTTGTTTTCCAAGATAACTGCCAGATGGCGGTCATGTCTCACGTGTGACGTGACTTGATGCGCTCGTTCGCCTCCGCTGCACGCTCGAGGCACTCTAACGCAGCGCCTGCAGAATTCATCGATTTTCTCGCACAGAACATCAAATGAACTTTTTGTTCACTTTCTCCAGGCGCAAGACTATCTATCGTCTTTCGAGGGCATTTTCAGTGTGTTGTGCAGATACAGGGCCAATATATATATTTTTTGCAATCTGTTAGTAGATATTTTTACCGTCATATCCGTGACGGAATTACGACAGCGGGGTCATGGTGGACCCCAGCATAAAGCACTTTCGTGTTAAGAGAAACGCGTGAACACCTGTATCCATGTTGTATGCCCCATAAAATTTTCTATTGGTAGCCATGCCTCATGCTCATGTCATCATCCGTCCTATGTTTTTTTTTGTTTTTTGCCTTTTGTGAACCATGTAACTTCATCCGTCGTTTTTGTTCGCCTCATTCGCAAGCATATGCAGATTTCTGGTAAAGGAATACGAGGGGGGGGGGGGGGGGGGAGCTTTGCACAGCACACACCAGTGTATTAAGTTAATGTATCAAGCCGATTTTCCCCGCGCCCCTCTCCCCTCTCTCATTTCACATTAGCAGCCACTGGCATGTACATTGAACACTATCTGACAGGAAAATGTTGCTACGGTATACTCCATGGCGTAACCACCTTGGTTTTACAAAGGTTTAGCGAGCGTTTGGCCGCAGCGCCTTGAATACAGTGAACTAGTATATACCATGAACTCGAGGTGGTTAAAGGTGGAAATAAGACCCGAAGCGCAAGCCGTAAGAACGTGTGCATGTGCCACCTCTCGTTTAGTCCTTGGAATGTCCGCTGGATGGCGGTGCTTCCATATGAGGAATATATGATGAAAAGGTGCGAGATGGTGGTACTTAGAGTGTTGAATAGATGGACGAACGGACACACAGACAGATGCATGGATGGACGCATGAATGGACGCAGAGCGGATGCATGGACGAACGCAGGGACGGACGCACGAACAGACGCACGCACGGACGGGCGGATGGACGCATGGACGGACGAATGCTTCGCCCCACTCTTCATCATTCACTCCGTGGATATGCTGCCATTTTTTTTAACCACCTCGAGTTCATGGTATATACTAGTTCACTGTATTCATGGCTATGCGGCTCAACGCTCGCTAAACCTTTCTAAAGCTAAGGAGGTTACACCCAGCGAGTATAACGTAGGAACCCTTTTTTGTCAGATAGTGCTCAATGTACGTGCCAATGGCTGCTAATGGTGATCGCAGCTTGCGCGTTAACTAAAAGCCGAATGCTCCTGTCTCTCATTCCCCATTAGCAGCCATTGACATGTACATTGAGCATTATTTTTTTATTGTTTAACAACGCACAGAAGTCTCTCACCGGCACCTTTTTGGAGGTCAAAATGTTATACTTGTTACATACTACGGGAGACGAACGGGTGCCGTTATAAGGAGTTTCGCCCCTAAAAAATCGCAGAATTGTATTCTGGAGGCGCTGCGTTAGAGTGCCTCGAGCACGCAGCGGAGGTGCACGAGCGCATCGAGTCACGTCACCCGTGAGACATGAGCGCTATTTGGCAGTTACCTCGGAAAACGAAGCGCGTGGCGTGCGCACCTGTCTCGGAGGCGATAAGGTGCAGAACGCAAGGCGACGGGTAGGTGCCAACACCATGTTGTCTTAGCAAAGCGTTGGAAGCACTTGCCTGTTCGTGCAAGCGTTGCATTGTCAGCGCAGCGTGATAAATGCTACAGACAGACAGATGAACTTTGTTTTAATAAACGCTACGGTCCTTAGAGTTACTTATGTATGCCTTTTCTAGTATAAAAACACACATACAGAGTATCGACGTGTTGTTATTATGCCTCAGATATGCACAATACTTGTTTTTTAAGTGACAATCGCAAAAGCATGAACGTTAAACTTGAGCAATATTGGTGGCTGCTGCGGATGGGGTTGGTCGTTTGGGGTATCTTTTGGTGCCATTTGAGGTATTGTTACGGCGGACAGACAGACAAATGCATAGACAGTTAGACAGACAGAAAGACCAAATTTTGCGTTGAAGGTCCGTCTGAGAAAGAGTGAGGTGCTCCAATCTTATTCATTTAGTAGTCCCTTCTTCTGCATCTGCAACTTGAGAAACAGTGTACAGACCTAATAATTCATACCTAGAAAAAAAGCAACGTATGAGAACTAGAGCATTGATAAAACAAAAACATGCCAAATAAAAACAAGATGCTTACGATTTCAGACCTCCCCTTTTCTTTCTGGATTGTCTTGTGGACTTGTTCTTTATTGTTCAGGTTCACCGTGACGACGTTTCTCTTGCTGTAACTGTTCTCAATCAATGGGAAACTCACCGTAGTGTTTATGTTGAAAACACTCTGTAATCCCTTATCAATATACAAGCTGAATTCAGTCTCGCAATCATATCTAAAATTCATTTTTTGTACATCGTCGCCTTTGGTTTCAGGAACGCACAATAAAGCACTCACGTTTAGCTTTATTGGATGCCTGAAAACATACATATTGCAAATATATAAGCTGTCTCACTCATAAAAATCTTAGAGTTCATACGTGCGATTAACTAAAGGTAAGAAAGGTAAATAGCATTGGGTTGATTTCTAAAAATGGTGCTGTTTTTCATGAACTTTGTTTTGCGAAGCTTGTTTCACGAAGCTGATCGCCTACACCATTGCCATATTAGGAACGAAGCTCCTAAAGCCGTGGGTCTGTTCTTCTACTGTGACTGGTTCGTGACTGCCTAATTTATGAATGACCCAGCAGGTGGCACTAGTGTGAATGACAGACAGACAGACAGACAGACAGACAGACGGACAGACAGACAGACAGACAGACAGACAGACAGACAGACAGACAGACAGACAGACAGACAGACAGACAGACAGACAGACAGACAGACAGGCAGGCAGGCAGGCAGGCAGGCAGGCAGGCAGGCAGGCAGGCAGGCAGACGCAAGGGCAAACACACGGACGGATGGATGGACAGACCCACGGACGAATTTACAGTTTACCGATAAAAGCCTTCGAAGCTTCGCCCCACTTATCATCATTCACTCCATGGATATGTGATTTTTTTTTTAGTGAGTCTGTCTTGACTGGACTGGAAAGATTGCCTGGATATTTGTTTGATCTTGTGTGAGTTGATTGAGACAAGCAACTTCATTTGTTTTCGTTGACCCATATAATTATATCATGCAAGTCACGTTCAATTCCGTACGACGCATTAAAAGGGTCTCAGAAGCTCCAACATATATTTGTTTTTTGTTTTCAGCAATAAGATATTTAGCAAACATTTACAAGTATGTGTTATTGAATTTGCAACAAGATTTAGAAACATGTTTCACCTGACCTTAGGAGGAAAATTCAGTAGCTCCCTTGCCCCGCAATATGCACCCTGATCGACGTCAAGGTCAAAGATGGGCAAGAGGTAAGCTCTAATGTGAGTCGTAGCTGACAGCACATCTGACGGCCAGTTCTTTACAATGTCGTGGTACAATATCCACAAGAACGGGCCATGTGTCTTGTCGCAGTGGATAATACCAATTTTGTAACGGTTTCGGCTATGGTTAACACCGTGGACAAAGGCACGGCAGAGGAGGCCGCCCCTGCTATCATACACGTTTCCCAAATACCAGCACCACACGAACCAATCACAGTGAATACTGATTCAAGAACTGCCAGTGCAAATTTAGGGAAAGGAATGGTTACGCCTTACACACACCGTGTCCTACCATCAATACACGTGTTTTTGCTACAGAGGGTGTGTATCCGGAAATCTGGACCTGCCTATCTCCATGGCAATTAACGCGCTAATGCGGTGGCTGAAGAATTTACAAACTGGGCGTCATCAGAAGATCTGTACAACCAAGACGACGCACCAGCATAACTACTAAAACATACAGTTTCCTAAATTTTTACTACAGGGAACTCTGTCACGGCGATCGTCCAGTGACCATGGGAATGATGGGTAGTAAACGGATTTGCCTAGTCTTCGTATTTGCTGGTGGCGAATCACACTTGTGGCTTCGTTTATTGCTTTGTTTCGGTTTTGTTTTGAAGAAAAGAAGGAACCCTTTTGAACTTCGTGACCTGATTTGAAAAGGTAAGCCTAAAAGAATAAGGGGGTGAAGCGCAACCACTGAGCATTTGCTGATCTTTGTCTCGTGTTAGAACAGTTCGAAGCCACACGAACACACGTGGAGCCAGAAGTATGAAGATTAGACAAATCCGTGTATTCCCATCATTCCCATGCTCGCTGAAACGCCGTGCGTTGCAGCTCCCACAGGCACAAACGCCAGAGCTCTCTCAAGGGTACATTTAGGAGACTCCATGTACTAAACTACACTGAACCGCCACAACATTACCGGCAAAGCCGTATATATGTACTTCAACAGCACCGTGCACGGGCCCAGGCCAACCCGAAAGCCCGGGCCACACATGGCTGGGCCAAGCATAATTGTATCGGGCCAGGGCTCGACTCGGGCCCATGAGCGTCAGACTCTGGTCGGTCTCGGGCCTGAGTAAACAGCGTATGACGCCTGGGTCTCATAGATAACGGTATTATGGCGTGTGTACGATGCTTGGCTTTGTTGTTTGAACTTATTAATAAGACTATTTTCTACTTTGAAACTGACGCCTTCTGAAACGAAGTCACTGAAGCACAGTACAATATGCCTGATCAATGTGAAATGTTCTTCCACATGGGTGCTAGATCTGTTGAAAGTTTGCTTTTTTTATTTTCTAGCTTTTTTTCCTCCCCATAGTAGCCGCCTTTAGATACGAGGCATTTTATGATCAAGCTCAATCTGTCCATCCGGTGGGCCGCGTGACCACCAATACTCCGCATGCGCGTCCTCTCCCTTTTCTCTCCTCATCCACGCTGCCCCTCTCTCACTCCAGAACGCCGACGCAGGCAGCGTCTACTAGCCAAAGTTCGCTCCCCATATCTCTCATCTACGCAACGCACCCCGCGGCGCTAACAAAACCACTGCTCATTCATTCTACCGGTATTTGTTTCAAGTTTATATATTTAGGGTTCTCATTCGCGCTTGTCAAGCTCGCATGTTATTTTTTGAGCATTAGGTATCAAAAATCATCGTGCTAAAATCAGATTTGTATTTGTCAATGGTATTTTCTTTTACTTGTGACCAACTTAGAAATTAGGGGCACCTGACTCTCCAATGAATTGTTTTGTATTCACTTTCAAATCGTTCCACGTCAACGACCCCTGTCACGGGTATACCACTTGCCGGCTACACCTGCTCTGCAGTCGCAAGTCGCGTCAACGAGGCCTCTGATACGAGAGCGCTTCAAGAACCTAAAATGAAACTATGAAATATAATGAAATCATTCAATAAAAACTTGGCAGATCCCCCGTACAGTGGGAATCGATGATATGCGAAGCACAAATAAGAAATGTTGATATGTCACTTTAAAATCAGCACAAGGTTATGAGGTGGAGGTAAATGATGCCGTACATGACTTCCGTGTGATGATCATCATGTTTTGATGTGTCGTTTACCTTCGTCATCTATTCACGTCACGTGATACCAAATTTAGTGTATGTGGAGCTAGCGAAACAGCTGCGAGCGTGCTATGAGCGTGGTATGTTGTCATGTTCTCACATGACACGCATGTCAGGATTATCGTGTTTGCACCAGTCATATATTTCGTCATCCATGGACGTCACGTAACACCAAATTTGGTACATGTGGAGCTAGCAAAACGGCCGCGAGCGCACCATGAGCGTGGTATGTAGTCATGTTGTTACATGACACGCATGTCATGATATGATTGGGACGTGCCAATAACCTGAGTGGTGGTCAAGCTATGAAAAGAATCCTGCACCTTGGAGACAATCGAGAGCGTCGTCTGTGCTGGGAAGAGGGTAAACATCTTTCCTCGTAATGTTGTTTAGGCGCCTGTAGTCTACGCAGAACCAGATGAAACCATTTTTTTTTTTTGACGAGTACAATCGGCGAAGACCAAGGACAACAATAAGGCTTGATGACTCCGCGCTGTAGCATGTCGTCTACTTGTTCTGTGATTACGCGACGATCCGCCCGCGACACGACACCTCCCACATGGGTATAGCACAGAGACCTCTCGAAGAGCACCGACAGTAGAAACGTGAAAGAGCTCGCGGGCGGATCATGCAAACCACGCCAGCGAGTTCACTCGCGATTCAGACGCTTGCAACGTTATTGCAGCGTAAACATGCCGATTGCGGGAGCGCGAAAGCAGAGGCTAAAGCCGATTTCTGCGAGAGTTTCTCCGGCAGCACATTGGCTTCGGCGGCGACGTCTTTGACCGCCTGTGTTTCGAAAACTGCCACCGTGATTAACGCATTGCGAAACGCATTTAACTGCTCAGTTACACTCATCCATGACCATGATCATGCGAGGTACAATGTGTGGCCTGTGAAATAAACACTATGGTAAGCCCAAGCCAAACGTGTGTCTAATCTCATTGAGAAGCACGAACATGTAACGAATAAGTGTAACAAGCTTCAGTGCCCTATCGGGTTGAACCTACTGCTAAACCCCGAGGCCGCGCGTTTAAGCTTTCGCTGATTAACCATTAGAATAGAGTGCTTGGGTGGTGATTTTTTTTAAAATGCAACGAATTTCTTAGTCGGGCTATGTCAGGCGTCCGGCCGCGTCCACGCGCCGGCAGGTGTTATCTCTCTAGCTTCACTTCCCTTTCCCAGTAGCAACAGCTGCGGGCGCGCTCGCTTATCTCGCCTCTAGCAACCGGAGTAGGTGGTGCGGGCGGAGTGGCGGAGAGACTTGTAAAGCGGAGGAGCGTTCTATAGCTTGTGAGGGCGCTAGGCGGAGCTTCCGCGTGTGTGAAGGCAGTGTAGTAGAGGGTAGGTGCAGTGCTTCACCGCTCCTTCTATCGCCGTTCGCTCTCTCTCCTGCTTGCGCCCCGCTCTCCCTTCCGCTCGTTCGTACGTATATATAAATGGAGTGAAGCGCGTGCTTCACTCTCGACCGCTTGCTGGCTGATGAATGTGCAAATAAAGGATTACCGCAGAAATCCTCGTCTCGTTATTAAGTTACGCCATTAAAATTACTACTCCGCGTACTCTCGGCGCAAGAAATACATTCCCATTTTCTCACGATTCTCTTCGTGGAGGAGGGGGGGAATTTCGATATTAATAAATGTTGTATGATAATTAACAAGAGCTCGAAGGAATCACGAACTATAATAATTATGAACGGCATTAGCCTTCATGCATGGTCATAAAATATATTCACGCACAAAAAGGACGACGGGTACCTGAGGTGAGCTTGTTATTTGTACATGACACAAAACCATAAAGTGGTGCTCTTCAATATCATATTCATTACAAACAAAAAGTTGTACTTGCCCTCTTTTTGGTTGCTTCGTTTGAGTCCAGTAGTCATACTTATCGGTCATACCCCAGGTGTCAATGTATCCGCCACTCGTAAAGTTTATTTTTTGAACGTATTTTTCTGCTCTCGCCGTCAAGTTAACCATAATGGCTCCTGGCAAAAAAAGAGTTCTGCGAACTGAATTTTCATTGCGCAGCTAGATTTACAGGCTTCCCGTTGTTAACCAGATTATTAAGATAAATTACACACATGCAATATTAAAGAGTATAAGATATTACTAATACAGTTTTAAGACACCATAAGTTCCCCAATGACACTAGAGTTCTCACAAGTTACAGAAAGCACTCTGGGCACAAACTGCCGACGTGAAATTTTCATTTCGTTCTACAATTGAATTTGCAGTCTTTGTGCACATTCATCAGGTTTATATGCCTTACTCATTTTCGCTACTTTTGTGCAACACTGTGTACGAGCCGGCATTACTGCAACAACGAAGGAAGAAGAATAAATAGTCTTTCACATTTCCATATGCCGTACTTCGAAATTATTCTCCCACAGCTTCAACTAAGTGTCTTGCGCACACGTCTGCTCTTACAACTGCGATATTTTTTTTTGAAAACCTCTGCTTATATATTCTGCGTGCACAAATATATAAAATCACAGTAGCAACCAAGTCATTGAAAATTTTTGATATAGTACATCATGTCCGCCATCGTGGAACAGTAGCTATGGCACTCGGGTCCGACCCGAAGATCATGCTTTCAATGACGGCCATGGAGGTTGCATTTCGGTGGAAACAAATAGTAAACGCCATTATACTATGCGATGTTGGTGCATGTTAGAGAGACTCATTAGGTCAAAATTTCCTCAACCCTCTAGTACGGCGTCTCTCATATTCATGTCGTGGTTTTCGACGCAACATAGCAAATATTATTGAAGTGGTATTCCGTGATCACGCGAGCACCCTTCTCGAAACAAACATGGTTCATCCTCCTCTCTGGGAACTGGTATAACGTGAAAATGAAACGTGTCTTCACATAAGTAGTTGAGCCTTTATTGTGAACTGTTTCACCAATAGCAACAGTTTGCCAAGCCACGTAAGGAACGGCGAGCAGCTCGAAACTTGCAGCGCACAGTTCAAGCAGAAAGCACGTACGAAATTAGCACACACAGGACGAACGCAGAGTAACTGTCACAGCTCGACACTCAAAGCGTGCTATTAAAACAGAAAAAAAAGACGCACGAAACGTGCACACGTGTGTACACAGGACAAGTGTCACAATTATTACTTCGTCGTAAATCAGCGGCGCACCACTTTTGTGAACACGGACGCGACAGCGAGCGAAGTGACCCAGGTCCTCTCCCTAATTACGAGTCTGATATGCGCACGCACAGGAAAAACACTCTCCGTGGAGGCGAGGACGTTTAGAGCGTGCCCAACGGGAGCCTGTCGCGTTATCTCGCTCCTGATAACAAAAACGCGCTAAAGTTTCGGAAGTCTGAGGACCGTCAAACGACGTATGATGTATATAAATGGCTTGCCATTAACGTCCATAACAACCTTCGCTCCGTGGCATAGTGGCTAGCGTCACGCGCTGTGAATTGAGAGGTTGCTGGTTCACCGCCACGTCGAACAACTTTACTCTCTTGTTTTTTTTTCTTGCAATCTTCTGATACGTATTTTACAACATCATATCCGTGACAGAAATACATGAGCCGGAACGTGGTGGACCCTGGCATAAAACACTATCGTGTTAAAAATTTCTCTATGTTAATCACATCCATAGAGACATTATATGTATATTTGGGATGAGGAGAAACGTATCTTGAACCCGTAATTCGAAATTGTCTGTTACATGCTATGCTGCACTGTTCATCAAGCCGTCTTACGGTGTAACGCGAAGCTGCTTATTCGTTTTCTCTTTTAGGGGTGAAACCCTCTAAGACGCACGAGGGTCGTGCATCCCCGATGTATGTATGTATGTATGTATGTATTTATTGAGGTATGTATGTATGTATGTATGTATGTATGTATGTATGTATGTATGTATGTATGTATGTATGTATGTATGTATGTATGTATGTATGTATGTATGTATGTATGTATGTATGTATGTATGTGTCACACAGGTCCCGTTAATTAGGGAGGCGATCGCCGGGATAATTCCAAGGGCCGAAGTATCGCCCCCCCGAACCGCACCACGAAAGCGTGGACAATTTAGAAGCGGTCCTATTTGGCGCGCCAGCGGATCCGGCTGGGGCCCAAAGAACAAGTCAGAGCCGAGAGTTGATAAACAAATAAAATTATATTTTCAATAATGGCAGATCGAAAACAATACACAAATAGGCACACTCCACAATAGTTGTGTACAATATGTCACCAATCAAAGAACGTACTACACAGTACAATCGGCCACACTCGAAACAACGGACACAGACAACAATACGCGCTACAATGCACTCGCATGCATTGAACAACCAAGACACTTAAAGACTAAAGAGATAGAAAACCTATTCAGTCCAAAGTTCTTGGAACAAAAGTCTAGATGATACTCTTCCGAGAATCACTCACTCAAAGTCCAGCGTTGTTGTCGTTCCGCGGCCCCCGAAGCTTCTCTTCCAGGAAACCTCACGTCTTCAATAGGCCACTCTCCAAGCTTCAAACTTCTTCGTCGGAAACACGTCGGCTTCACACACGCAGCTGTTGCCACGCGTCTTCGCTCGATAGCGGTAAACACACACTCTTGCCTGTAGCTCGAGTCGTCACCCCTCAGCTGGAAATCATCTTCTTCTCCTGCCTTGTCTCTACCGACAAAACCTTCGCCGACTACACGGCGGAATCCTTACGCGCTCTGGCGCTAACTTCCGTCTTCTCCTGATCTCTCACCTCGGCTGCTCCATTAAATACCTTCCGCGCGAGATTCCATAAAGTTCTCGTCATTTCGTCGGCGCGATACGCAGCGAAGGCTGGGGAGAGGGCGAGACGGTTCGAATGCCGTTCGCGACAGATGACTCAACCCGGCTTCACCACGCCCCTTTCCATCTAGAACATTTGAGTGTTTGCTCGGCCGCCGTTGTGGGGTGAGGAGGTTCGTGGGCGAACCTACGCTTCCGAGAGGGGAGGGTCGCGCGCCAGGGGAGTCCTTGAATGCTTGTTTTTTTTTCTTTTTTTGACCTCGCGGCGTCTCTCCCGCGCGTTATCGCAAGAATTTGGCGGCGCGCCCTTTTTGAGCGCTCGTTCTGTGACACCATCTCTGCTACTGCCTGCGTCACCTGCCATAGTGAGCGATACCACCACATTGGTTTTCTGGAGAAAAGAAAAACTCATAGACAAGTATGAAGACGTTACTTGAAGTGCCGTGTACATAGAATGTGCTTGCAGTAAATAAACGTAGTTGTGCGGCAAGAACGAACCGTGACCTGCATGGGTATCATGTCACATTATGTATTATAAGTGTATAACTTTCCACTTTTTGCAAAGTGCCGCTCTTATCCAAACGAAATTGGCATTTGCAAAATTTTATATTTCGATTTAAAGAAGCATGCAGTGACCTCAAATTTCAAATTTTAGTTGCGGCGTTCATTCAACTGCTTCGTATGCATCAGTTGTTTTTTTTCTTAGGGGGGGGGGGGCGAACCTCCCTAAACCATGGGTCGTGCGTCCGCGATGCATGTAGTGGTAGTAGTAGTAGGTATAGACACCTCCACAGCCGGACTAGAGGAGCGGCACGCGCCACCCTTTTCAATTGAGGAGGAAATTCGCGCACGTTAATCACAAATAAAAATATAGTTGTTTTAAGTGAAATAACTTACAGGGACTAGTATTGGAAACATCTTCAATAAAATTTCCCTTGAATTTGATGCTTACTGAAAAACTAGTATCATAAGGACGCACCTAGAGCCCTATTTGACCAGAAAGGGTTGCCACGTTAAATTAGCTTGGCGTAACCTCCTTCGTTTTAGAAAGGTTTAGCGAGAGTTGGTCCGCAGTGCCATGAATAAAGTGAATTTATGGTGAACTTGTATATAGCCATGAACTAGAGGGGGTGGAAGGTGGGAAGTAGACACGAAGCGCAGGCCGTAAGAAAGTGCGCGAGTGCCACATTTAGTTTAGTCCTTGGAATGTCCGCTGGACGGCGGTACTTCTGCATGCTGAATACATGATGAAAACATGCGAGATGACGGTTGTTGGAGTGTTCACTAGATGAACGGATGGACAGACTGATGCACAGATGGACGGACGCAAGGATAGACAGATGCATAAACGGACGCACGTATGGACGCACAGATGAACGTACGGACGGATGGACGCAAGGGCAGTCACCCAGACAGCCGCACGAACGGACGGAAGCAAGAACGAATGGACGGATGGACGCTTCACTCCACTCATCATCATGCGCTCCGTGGATATGCTGTGATTTTTTTTAGAGAAGCATTAATCACGGCCCGTACGTAGAAGTTATGGACTCGCTCGCTGGATTTCGGGCCGACCGGTTGTGCCCCCGTGATCTTGGATGACAGCGCAGCTCTGGCCAACTGGCTCGCCCTACGCCATATCCTGCCGCCGACAAGAGCTCTTGCTGAGTGGTGCTCCATCTTCGGACTCCTGCGACCGTGTCCATCTTTCCTATCTGCTCCTTACTTCCATCGTTTTGTGTCGTTCGCAGTCCCTGCACCTATCTCCCTCCTTCCTCTCTCTACCTATTTACCTTTTAATTATATACCTTTAACCCTTTTTATCCCCATCCCTTGTGAGCTTCTGTTGAGGTGTCGCACTCTGATGCAGACAGTTACGGGGCTCACTTTTCTCTTCTCTTTAAGAATCACGTATATTTTATTTCGAGTGCAAAGAGCGTCCAAGGCTGGTCGGCGCGTTCCCGACTATGAGACATCGACAGTATTCTGACGCGTTCAGCATGCTCCTAGGCCACGCCTCAAGCACCGACTGACGCTGAGTGAGCAGCGATGACGTCGACAATCTTAGTGTTGTCATTGCGGTGTCTACATGTGGTACCGTCTTGCGGCGATGCCTGGCTGCCTGGCAGCGGCTTCACTTGCTTTGTTTTGCTTGATTTTTGCAGCGCGTTCGTATGAATCCTGCATTTAATTTTTTATCCAGCGGCCGTATTCGTTGCGCCGCTTCGCGTCATTTGTCATGCAGTCATGAGGGCGAATTAGATTATTTGAAGCTATGGTCATCGCGAACAAGAAACACGCACGCAGCCTTCATATGTCTAACCAGCCAGCGTGGCCCAAGCGTGCGTCTCCAACTGTCTTCTCGCTGCTCACTCGGGCGTCGATTTTGGAATCGCTGCTCAGAAGCGGATTGTAACGAAAATTATTCGCCACGCCACAAAAAACCGCGATTCCTTATTTTTTCCTGTTTTTACCGTCGCTTGTGGGCGCTGATGACGGCAGCGACAACAATGAGGGCGGCGAAGACATGCCTATATACACGTGCGCTCTGAGCAGACGGATTGTCAAGTGAAGATAACGGCACCATTTTGTCGGACCACATGATTAGTTGGGGTGGGGCCACTTGATGTCACCGCTTGGCAGCGCTGGCAGCGCTGAAAATTGGCGGGCTTTGCACCCATTTTGAATTGGTTTCGATACTAAACATACTAATCGATATTACACATATTATTCGTCCCTTCGTCGCATTATTAGAACCGCACCGTTACTATAGGGATCGATAACTGCGCGTTGGTGCAAAAATGTGACATGCGTCAAGTTGATGTCACTGCTTCTTCAAGACTCATGCGGAAATCAAGTAAGGCAAACACAGTTTTCCCGCTTCGCTGCAACTCATCGAACATGCTTAACACTCTCACCACCACCCTCGAACATTATTTCGAGCAAACAGAACTTAGCCACAGGTAAGTGTGCAGTCCAGCAGTTCATATTTATTATTTTTGCAACGATTGTTGTATTTACTGGATCGCACGTACCATAACTTGATGTTTAACTTAGCGTTACAACGATCGCACGTTTGTCTCCTGGCAAAACTGAAATGCTGAACCTTTATAGGCATTAGTTGAATATTTGTCCATTTGGAAGCAACAGCCTTCTGCGAGTGTATTTTACTGTAGTATAACTACTCTTACGCTCATGTACAAAAAAAAAGTGTGATATAATGCATCGGAGCATGCTCATCAAGATTGAGGTAAGAAATCGCGAAAAATAGTTCCAAGACGTTCCAGCTAAGAGTAAGCACACGCCCTTGTGTCACGTCACTTCCTACTCAAAGTGAATTTGCGTTCCCAGTCCGTACTCAAAGCTTTTTTTTTTTTGAAGCACTGGCAGAAAACGCAAGAGTGGGAACTCATCTTTTCGCCTACCGTTGTCTTCAGGAACCATGCGTCGTGAAGTTTCATATCCAATAAGGGTGAAAGGGGGAGTCTACACCATGCCCCTTCGTGCGTGCTGTACATTGAGAGGCATAGCGTTAAAATAGGAAGCCGCTTGAAACATTCGACACAGTTTCGGGGTTTTTGAAATTTCTAGAGATCAGTGCACATAAATCATGTGCAAGATAATGATGAATCTTTGAAAGAATAGCAAGGTAACGCCACAGTTTCAGCCTAATGACGAGCCACTGATTATAACAGCGATTCATCAAACAGCTATTAAAAGGTCACGCACTAATTAAACTTACGAGCATGGTGCCAGTGGGCACACGTGCCTGCCCGCAAACGGCACATATTTTTATATAAAAACCTTGAAGCCCTATGTATTCTAGTGCAATGCTATCTGTAGGAGACACCTGGCAAAACGTAGTCTCTGGGAATCTACAAAAATTTGTTTAGACCATCTAACAATATGGGTTCTTTAAAAATAAATTATGAAAATACAGAAAATCCTAGCAGGTGCAGTGCATTTAGTATTTATATAGACCAATATATTATCAACTCCTCATGATGAATAATTGACTGCTTAAGAGAGTGTACCACAGCCGACAGTGACAAACTTTACTTTAGCTTGAATCGTGGAGATCAGGTTGCCAGTTCTACCGATTTGCTCAGTCTTTACTTGAAATCTATATTTGTGTCTTGCGGGGCGTGGGGCTCCAATCTTAAGTGAAAAGTTCATAGAAAAGCTCGACAGGGGGCTTAAATGTAGTTTTTCCGGGACTCGCGATTCATGCTTACAACTATAAAATTGATTTTCTAGTATCAAAAATTGCATAGTAAAAAATAAAAAAATATATTCGTGTTGGAGTATGGATATCTCACCTGTCTGTATGGCCCCACCCTATAACAAAGAGAAGAAATAAATGTAAGGATGTGATTCTGCATATTTTAGTGCTGCTTCTTTTTTGGAAACAAAACAATAAGATTTTGTTACATTGATTTTTCAGTCATGTGTCGTATTCTTCTCGTAATATACTTCAATATTACTTTAAAAACATCCAGGTGGTAGGTACCCGATTTATTTATCCAGAAGGCTTACACAACGTTAACCACAACGACTTACAGTGTGGCGTGCGATAGTTGCGGCACGAAAAAATGCGTCAATCACTTGGAATGCTACTGTCCTCGATTTGTCTCGGACAGACAAATATTTTCCTCTAAACTGCAATGATAGGGCGATCCGCAACTTTCCGTGCAAGTGCTTCAACAGGGGTCTCAAGCAAGCGGTCGGTACCTGTCACGTGACTGTATGTATGGGTGTACGAGACTTCTACAAGATTCTTGGCAAAACATCCCTTCCAGTGACATGGGCGTCGGTATGGGGGTCTTGCAAGAAGGGAACTTGGCCTTCTGAAGCCCCGCCAGCACTTGCCCCTACCCAAGCGCTCTACCATTTCCCCAGCCGCAATGCAACACAAGTTTGCACCCCCTAAAACACAATCCTACCGAAAGTCGCGTTTAGCGCTACGTCTACAGGCTGTCAGAATAAACGCCATGTTCGGAGCTGCTTACTTCTGCAAACACTTGTTATGCTTGCTCAAGGTGAACTGGTCCAGTCCATAATGAACACCTCCGATCGACCATGAGGGTCGTTTCCGCAGAAGAAGTTAACGCAGACATTTCTTCTCGCGTCGTTGTGGTTAAACGGGTCCAGAAACGAGACCATTGTTTTCAAAACTTTCGTACCTATTTTGAACTTCACAAGAAATTAAGTTGTATGTCTTCCATCAATTGTGTTTGTGTTATTTTAATGAGATAGCGTTTATAGGCTCGTTTTGTATAAATTCTGGCGTCCGCGTCATAGCTCGTGAGCGAAAAGTCACTGTTGTCCATCAGCGAGAAATCGAAATCAATGCGAATAAAATAACTAATAAAGCTCTTCGATTCAAGCCACAATGCAGCTCTGGTCTTCTGCGTGGCAAGCGTATGTTCTACCATACTCCACCAACCCATGATAATTAACATTTGGTTTAAACTGCCCCCCCCCTCCCTTTCTCCTTCGTTTAAACTTTCTTCACTGCACGGGCCTTTACGAGGCTAAAGTTTGTTATTGCTGCCCGCTAGCTGGGGTGAGCTTGAGAGCCCTGTGAGACAAGATTGCCATCCACCCCTCTCGTCAGCCCACAAGGCAGTGAAGCCACTCTTGTTTTCGAGTACGACGGGCTCTTGCGAATGCCTCTAAATTTGCGGCACCATCCCCCAGGTCAATGAATTCTCTGCCTTTTTATTGAGCGAAACTTTTATGAGTTTAGGTGGTGGAGATAGTATAATTTCTGCTAATCCTCGCGCTGGCAAATGTACAGGAATACGCGTGTATACAAAAAAAGTGTCCTCGTTGTGCGTCGTTGAAGTGCATGCTTTTATGGATTGTTTTACAATCATCTGTCGATCATGGCCTTGTCAGCCATCAGCCTTTTCTGGTATGGCAACGCCATATTTTGACGAGGTCACTTGCCATTTGACATAACCGCATTTCATTACTCACGCATGACCGTCGATGTTGCGCTGCTAAGCCAATAGGTGAATATCCTATTCACTTTTACGATCACTTGCCCCTTGTTCGGACGAAACCTGAGACATTCGAAGGTCGCAGGTTCACACCCTACCAGAAGCAAGTTGTGTTTTCGTTCCTTCTTCTTTCTTCACATTTGCATTACAATTACTACAATGCATGCCGGATATTGCATAGCGAATACGTTGAAGTCTTACGAGCCCAGTCGTACATAAATGATCACGTTTCAACAGTGACCATTCGATGGTTCATAATTGCAACTTATCCGTCATGAAACAAGGCCTTTTTTTTATTTAGATAGGTCCTTTGTCAAATCCTAGTCATCTTTTCGTCTAGTGTATAGGTAAAGAGGTGTTGCACATATCGTCTCATTTCTCGGTGCTGCGTACGCAGGCTATGCGGGCCGTTAGCAGGCAGCTGCATTGGATAAATGCACCCTTAGGGTTCATATTTCCTATTGATCCATGCTAATGCTCGCTAATAAATCACTTAAAGATGAACGGACAATGCTTATTATGTTCTCTAGATGTTCCTCATGGTTACGCAGCTGGTAACCCATGCTTCGAGATATGAACTCGTGAAAGTTCGGAGATTGGCAGAATAGGACTTCGATATAGTTTTCTCGCTCAAAAAAACATAGTATGATAAAACTTTCCCAGTCAGTAGCCAAGGAAGCATGCTAGGAAATTCACTATTTAGAATATTCCTACCAGGACTCCATAAATGTTTAATTTACGACTAAAATGTGCAGAAAAAGATTTTTTTGCATATTTCTCAGCAGATGCAGACATGATTTCACACTATCGTCCTCTCAAACTAATTTCTGCTAAAACATAACTTTCTGACAGTCAGTTAGTGTCAAGTATTTCGATTTGCTAAATTCTATTTTTCTATAAAGACTGCCGAATGTGGACCTTATTGTCCATACGTGTGACAGCATAAAGAATCCACAAAAGTCTAAGAGGTCGTGAAACTTACTTTAGGAAAAAATCTTCCAATTGTTCCATAGGAAAAATTTTATCCTAGCCTCATTTAGAAAAAAAAAACGAGTTTTTCGACAACACGTGTTACAAGCCACAGTTTCGAGATTTTTGAAAAAAATTTAAACTTGGTTCGCGATACTAAAAGAAACAATTTCTGACAGATATCTTGGGGGACTACTTGAGGATTTAGATAGACATATCTCAGTTTTTCTCAATAAAATCACACATGGCTGAAAGCCATGGTGACTTG